AAATGATATTTCTCACTACAGAATAAAGAGATACTGTGTGTTCTCAATGAATCACTAATTTCTGTACATAGATTTTCTTCATGGTAGTCGTCCTGAATGACAGTTTAGGTTGCTGGGTGGGTTTTTGTTCTTTCTGCTGGCAACTCCTTTCACTAAGACCTTTTCACAGTATGTTTTTCACATTGGTGGCTCCTTGCCAGTTAAGTTTTTAAATTAAATTAAGTGCTTTGAAGGGCCTCCCTGGTGGCACAAGGGGTTAAGATGCAACCTATGAAGCTATCTGCAGCCATTGCAGCACGAGTTCAATCCCCGGCCAGGGAAGTGACCCACATGGCGCAGCAGACCTCTCCTGACTTGCCTGCTGCTCCCCTCAGCAGTGTACCTTGGTCTGTCTGTCTGTTCTGTTCCCTACTCTATCTCTGGTGAATCCTCTCACCCCCCACACCTCTGGCCTGTACCCCAGTTCTTATATGCATAAATAAATAAATCTTTAAAAAAATATAAGTACTTTGAAGATCTAATTTTTTTTTTCTCTCTGTGCTGGAACTTCATCTTGACACACACTTAGCATCTTTTTTAGCATCTTTTTCTTAATTGTAGTAAAATCTATAGAACATAAAATTTACCATTTTAACCATTTTTAAGTGTGCAATTCACTGGCATTAAGCACATCCATAATGTTGTGCATCTGCTACCACTATCCATTCTAGAATTTTTTTTATCCCAAACAAACTGTATACTCATTAAACAGTAACTCCTACTCCCCTCTCCTTCCTGCCCAAGTTCTACTTTTTGTTGCTATGATTTCTTCCTTACTTTGGGTATCTCGTATAAGTGAAATCATAAAATATTTGTCCTTTGTGTCTGGCTAATTATACTTAGCATAGTATGTTCGAGTTCCATCCATATGAAACATATAGATAACATATGTCAGCATTTCACTCCTTTTTAAGGATAAGTAATATTTCATTTTGTCTATATGCCATATTTTGTTTATCCATTCATCTGTTGATGGACATTTGGGTTGTTTTCACATTTTGGCTACTGTGAGTGATGTTCAGGTACACTGTGAACATCCCTTGAACACTGGTGTGCAAGTCTCTGTTCATATCCCTACTTCCAATATTTTAATTCTATAATTAGAAGTGAAACTATAAAATTATATGGTAATTCTTTAACTTTTTGAGGTACCACCGAACTGTTTGTATAGTAGCTGTATCATTTTACATTCTCACCAGCAATGTGCAAGGATTCCAAATTCTCTATATTGTTGCCAACAATTATATTGTCTAGTTTTTTGACAATAGACATATTAGTGGGTATGAAGTAGTATGTCATTGTGGTTTTGATTTGCATTTTCTTGATGACTAATGATGGTGAACATCCTTTCATGTGCCTGTTGGCCATTTCTTTGGAGAAATACCTAGTCAAAGCCTTTGCCATTTTTGAATTGGGTTATTTTGCTGTTGTTGAGTTGTAGGTGTTCCTTATGTATTCTGAATAGCATAGTCTTTCATATAGCCTCACCCTTATTCTTCAGACCCAATACTGTGTTGTTAGAGAATGTTTGAGAACATTGAAATGACTGTTTTCTGTGAACTAATTCTCCTCTAAATTTCTAACATTGCCATTTCAGTAAGCAGTTTCTGTTTCCTATACAAGCTCACCAAATATGAAATGTCAGCTTAGGAAATATGAAATCAAAATTAATTTCATTAAATGGAGTGTTAATTTTCAATTTGCCAAATGTAATTCATCGTATAACTATCAAAGAACAACTTGCCTCCCCACCTTTCATCACCATCACCCACCCCCAACATTCCTTCTCTCTTCAGTCCCTGTATCTGTAGGCTCCAAAGAGGGTCCCCAAAGAGTGGTGCCAGGTAGTTAAACATAGAGCCAATATAATAGAACTTTCAGGACCTCTTAATTAACATGGGCTCCTTCTAAGATGTTATACCTAGTTACGCATTTTTGGAATTTTCACTTTTTAAATCAGCCTTTCCAAGTTTTATAAACTAAAGGCCCACAAAATCTGACTGTATTCTGACTTTGTTTCTTTCATCTAAAATCACAACTTAATTGTTTTTGCTTTGCTGAAAAATAGCCCGTGTCTGTTGTTCTGTATACCGAGTTATTTATGACTGGCTTCATTCCTTGCAGAGTTTCCAATCTGGGGAGCCAGTCCCCAAAACATTAGTCATGGGTGTTCTGGTCAACTCAGGTATGCTCTCATGGCTTCCCTGCCCAGCTTTGTCAGCATTGTTTGGCCCTGGGCAGGAGAGGAACATGCAGGCCTCATTTTGCAAACTTGGCTCCTAATTGTTTATGCAAAATATCTGTGTCCTTTTGTACTTTGCACAGAGCCAAAAATAGAATTTTGTACTTACACTTATGCATGGAAGCAAAGAATGTAATTGCCAGACTCGATACCTCACCTTTGAGAAATTTCATTTGTGTAGCTTAAGCAGTTTCCTAAATATTGGGATATCTTGTCAGAAACAAAAATGAGCCTTCTGATCTTTTATTATTATCAAATTGTATGATTTTCATTAAACAAAAAGCAGCTTCATAATCCTTGAGCCACCAGGGAGGCCCCCTAAACAAAATATTTTTATAAAAATTAGATAAATCTGAATATAGTATCTCCTGTCCTGCTGTAGGCATTTAATAACAAAGTAATTATTCATTCTGTATAATGTCTTATATATTATTCTTATTTTTCCCATGCAGTTATTGTAATAAGTCAGACAATTTTATGTTTTTCTATGAAGGGTATATTTGAATAAGATAACGGCACATAAACAAAATAATACATATAAACAACAACATAAACAACAAACAAATAGTTTCCCTCTTTCCCACCCCCTTCCCTTTTTTTCCCCTTTCTCCTCTGGTTCTTTCCTTTACCATTGCTTCCCAAACAGTTCCATCCTAAAGCCACTAGTTGATACAGAGCATGGTGTGCATTCACCAAAAGGTGTCCAAGCTGCAAGAGGTGTCAGCCTGGAGTGATTGTAAAAGACCCTCTATGCATTCGATAGGATGAAAGCAGTGGAGAGTGGTTATAGTCAAATAAGACAGTTGATCCAATAACTAAATATATTAAGGATAATGAGAAACAAATTTTTTGACAACAGAGAAGAGAGTTAGAAAACAGTGAAGGGAGAAATTTTAGAATTCCCCCTGTGGTGTTGAATTGGAATTGGAAATGTTGGTGTGAATGATGATTTTCACTATATAGAAATAGAGATGTAAATGTATGTTTGTGTGTACATATGCATATTTTCCAGCTCTTGTCTACTGAGAGAGCTTAGGGGCAGCAAGACACCAATAGCAATGAGCATACCTCGCTCCAAGTGTTTCCTAATGCTGTTCTCCTCTAAAAGAAATCAGAGCTGAGGTAGGCAAAGTGCAAGATGAGTTTGAAGTATCGAAAACAAATGTCCACAGAATGAGAAGTTACAACAAAAAGAACATAACAGAAGCCATCTTGAAAGAGCCCTCACTAATCTAACAGGACAATTTGACCATCAAAATAAATGTGACTAACAGATAATAGCCTACTAAATAAATAATCTATGAGACCATAATAAAAATAAATAAATTAATAGATCAAACATTTGATAAGGTAAAGATTACCTAATTTCAACATGTAAAATTCTTATTAACTACTTTATAGTGGAGAGTTCGTGCAGCTAATATATAAACATCATTTCTTTGATTTCTGCCAAAGTTTATAAACTAAATCATGAGAAAGTATCAAACTCAAATTTAAGAGCATACTACAAAGAAAATGACTGGTAATCTTCAAAAGCATCAGTTATGAAAACCAAGGACACACAAAGAAACTATTTGGGATTAAAAGATACTACAGAGATATGTCAACTGATCCTTCTGCTATGAAGGAAGTGATTGGAATAACTGGCAGATCTTGAAAGGGATTAAGGTTTATTTTCTGATTTGAGGATTATATAAGGAGGGTGTCAGGTTGGCAATTTTCAAAGACTCAGGAAAAACTTTTTGATATTGTTAATGCAATTTTTCCAGAAGTTGAAGATTGTTTCAAAATGGAAAATTTCTAAATTGCTAAAATTGTATATAACTCTACAAATTCCCACAGCCTATATATGGATTTTAGATGTGTAATTGATAATGGCATGTATATGAACTTCAGGGAGTGTCATATGATCTTCCTGAGTTTTTCAATAACTTGAAAGTGTGTTTATCTGCAGATGCAAAGATCTGATTCACTTTCCAAATCTTCTTTGAGTTGTTATTTAAATATTAAAATCCCCTCTTTAAGGTTTTTATTCTAAAATCTTACATTAATGACAAATGGAAAGGATAATAAAGTCCCTTTGCTCTGAAGGAATTTGTTCTGGAAACTATTGAAACAAATTATAAATAATGGGTAGAATAAGCTTACTGTTGACAGTGGAGAATCCAGCACTTCATCTTTGCTCTTAACCTTAACGATAAAGTTTGGTTTTAGCTATAAAGTCTTCTCAGTCAGAAATATATGAGTACATATTTATCTGTCACACACACACATTTTTATTCATTTCTGTTTTAAAATGTTGAGTCGTACTGTACTATTTTGGGAGCACACTGCTGCCTACCATTCTCTGCTGGTGCATTCTTTTAAAATTTACACACCCACTCTTCTTTGAGATTGAAATGTGGTTGCAGCTCTGCAGTTATTCATAGCACTTCCTGAGCAGTCCAGCAGGTGGCAGTCTAGGAGAGGAACAGTTCTCATTGCTTCCCCCACCGGGCTGCCTACCAGCAAAACAGAAAGAATGTGGATTCAGCAATGTGCCTTCCCTTTTCTGGCATAATAAGAATGAGATTTCCAAGGTTGTTTCTTTCAAAATGGGTACTTAGGCATAAACAGTATCACAAGAAAGAAACCAAAATTAATCCTGTATATATGTGTAACTGTGTAGGATTCTGAACTTAAAAAAATCTTTTTTTTTTTTTTTCTGTATGATTTCTAGAAGTCCCACTGGTTTTATATCTCTTTGCCCTGATTTCTTTGACGTGGCTCTGGGGAGGCCTGCACATGGCTTACAGACATTTCTGGATGTTGGTCCTCTTTGTCATTTTCAACAGTCTGCAGGTAAGTCTTACAGTTTGGCTACTGATGGCACATGTTTCCTAATGAACACCAGGCATGGAGTTTCAATGTAATGGAATAAAAAATTCCACACAGAGGTGAATTCATACACCCAATAATATCACACTGAGTTGTAAAATAAAATTCATTTTGACATCTAAGTAACTACATACACATATTTCTCTTTCAGCAGGATTGAGGTTTATAAACTTTGCGGATGACAGGTAGGCCCTATGCATGTATTTATACAGTGGCTATGTCTAGAATTTAGAGCAATTCAGGAGTGAAATAGATAGCCGTGTTCAAGCAGTCCCCTCTTATGTCTGGTTCTTAGTGAAATCAGAGTGTTTTGGTTCACTGGAAAATGATTGATATCCTCCAAGTCTGGCAATGCCCAGCCTAATTGGGTTTTGTGAGTGTGCTTGGATGGCATAACTAGAAATTATACCACTCACTGTAGCAAAAATTGCAGCTGACTTTTTCAGTGCTTTCGTTAAATGGAAAAAAAACGTACACCCTAAAATTAACAAATGGGAGAATGAACTCATTTTTCTTGTTTTCCAAAATGAAAAGGCCTATCTTGGAGTAAAACAATCTCTTGAATTTACCAAAGGTGTCTCTGAACAGCCCTCAGCCTGCCCACCATTTTGTAAAGAACATGTGTCAAAAGCACACTAAGATTATAACATGCATCTGAAACATGACTCCCAGCATATTTAGATTTGCTTTTTAAAAAAAAAATGAGGTTTGCTTTTTTAGAACAAATTCATTATAGCAAGGTGCCTAATCAAAACATAATTAAATTTGGGAAGATAAAAGAGACAAAAATAATTAAAAGTCTGCAGTCTAGTTGATTTATATAAACTTCTCTCTTTCTGCCAGTTTATCAAAGTGCTAGGGAGCATGAGTGAAGGGCTCTTTTACTCCTGTCCTTCAGTAGTTTCTCTGCAAATACCTTAAAAGAGAGACATTTAAAAGGTCATGAGGGAAAATTAATAATGGTATAAAGATGAGTATAAAATATTTGAAAATGATTATAGCACAAAAATTTACAAAATATTTAAATATGTTTGCGTTGTTGAATTGTTGTAGGATCGCGGCTATACCACATGAAGAACTGATTTTCCTTTCTGGATTATACCTCAGCTGTCTTCCAAGTCTTCTGTTCCTTCATAATTTTATACTTTATTGCATATTTTGGTGATCAGACTTACTGAAGAATGAAATCAGTGAGTGTAAAGCCAAAGAAATGAAACCACACCTCAACCAGTTCTTTCCTCTTTTACTACAAAATTGCCTTATAGCTGGGTTGTTTGTGACAAAACTACCTAGAACGTGGGTGCTAGCATTTGCGGTGAGCCCCCAGCTGAGCCACTGTGGTCAGAGGCCCTGTCTTATTTATTTTGAATCATTAGGCCCTAGTGGAACTGACACCCAGGTATATACTGACAACTCATAGATGTCTAATTTGGTGGATGCACAATGGTAAACAAAATTGAGTTTTAGATTTTTTTAATATTTGCTGCAAAGTTTTAAAATTGAGAAATTTCACATAGAAACCTGGCATTCTAGCTTTTCTCTAATGGCATTACTTGCATGTCAGCAATTTTCTGGGGGTTTTTTTGTTTTGTTTTGTTTTGTTTTTTTAAGATTTTATTTATTTATACAAGCACTGGGTACAGTCAGAAGCGCAGGAGGGTGAGAGAATTCTCCAGAGCCAGAGCGGGGAGAAGGACCGAAGTACACTGCTGAGGGGAGCAGCGGGAGGCAGGAGAGGTCTGTGCGCCATGCAGGGCCCTCCTTCGGTGGCCGGGGAGCAGCCGGGGATCGAACCGGCGCCATGGAGGCTTCAGGCAGCTTCGCAACCCAGCGCTCAACCGCTGCGCCACCGGGGAGGCCCAATTTTCTGTTTTGTTTTTGTTTTTGTTTTTTAAGATTTATTTATTTAAGCATACAAGAACTGGGGTACAGGCCAGAGGTATGTGTGTTTTATGGGGGCAGTTTGAGAGGATTCACCAGAGACAGAGTGGTGAGCAGAACTGCCAGATCTACTGAAATACACTGCTGAGAGGAGCAGCGGGCGAGACAGGAGAGGTCTGCTGTGCCATGTGGGTCATCTCCCTGGCCTGGGATCGAACTCATGCTGTGGTAGTTGCGAATAGCTTCACAATGTTGCATCTTAACCCCTTGCGCCACCAGGGAGGACCCTATGTCAGCAATTTTTAAGTCCTGAGTAGATGCTGTCTCCCTTAAATGGAGCTTGTGGCTTCATTATCCTTGATATAGTTCATTTTACCTGCTCCTAAGTTTTTAACTCCTTTAATGTTCATAAATACATTATGTATGTATGGTTAGAGATGCGTATTTCAGGCAGAAAGAATAGAGATTTTTCTGTTTTACAACTGCCTGCTGGCCCATTAGTTTGCAGCAAAGATGCTTGTGGCAAAATTACCTAGAACTCTGTGTTAGCATGAAGCTAATTATGCTTAGCCCCCCAGGTGAGCTACTCAAATCAAGGGAAAAAGAAATCTTGCCTAAATTAAGAAAAGAGTTGAGGGGAGGAGGAAAGATTTCGTAGTTAGAAAATTAGTGATGGGAGAGGAGATAGAAGGGGCAGGATGACTTCAATGCCATGTCACCATGCTTGGGGTGGGATTTTAAAGCCTAGACTTTAAGCATTGAAAACCATCAAAACTGGGAGGGTTTAGTTTGTTTGGTCCTGAATTTTTCTTTCAATTTCATTAGCTTTTTTAAATGTTCTTAGTTTTTCAAATTTTGATAGGATAACATACCCACACCTATTTATTGGGAGGATAATTAAAACACTTAGAGAAGGTACTGGAAAGAAGAGAAGCTCCAGGTAGATAAGCTATTGTCATTTTCCAGCCTAGAGACATTCTGGCAATGTGCTTAGGAATTGACAGTACAAGACAGGTTTGAGCATTGTAGAGAGAAATAGTAATGAAATTTGGTTAGTCAATTAGACGTAAGAATGTAAAGTGCAAGAGAATACACCAGTTAGAAATGCCTGGCTTGGGTAAATGGCTGAACTGTAACACCAGTCTACATGAAGATCAGATCCAGAGCAGGGCTCTAGGGACTATGTAGTGGAATTGGTGAATTAGTAAGACTGGGAGACATTGGTAAAGTACCAGTGTTCTAGCACTTACATGTAGGAGAGGGCTAGATGGAGATTCTTAATGATAGAGGAACAGGATGGGACAGTTTACAGTGACTGGTAGAAAAGAAATCGTCAAAGAAAACAATATCCAACCTCGTCAAGTGTATCAGAGAAGATGAATAGAAAGAGAAGTGAAGAACAATGTGATTAGGTGCAGTGATGTGCCCTGCAGTGTGTGTCACTATCACATGAGGGGCTCATTAAAACACAGGTGGCTAGGCCCCACACCCAGAGTTCCTAATAGGGTAGATCTGAGAATTTTCATTTCTAACAAGGCTCTGGGAGATGCCAATGCAGCTGGCCTAGGGGTCTTCATTTGAGATCCACTGACCATGACCCTGACTTAACTCCAGATATAGACACTTAATTCTACTCTTTCCATCTGTCAAATGGAGATAAGTGCCATTTAGGATTACAGTGTGATTTAATCAAATGTCATAGTAAGTGTAAAGCAGTTGTACAGTACACACATGCAAAGAACAGTTATTTGTATTATTTAAGAAGTTTAGTGGAGCATGAAAAGAAAAACAAAGTAATAGGAAGGAAGGTTGGTTCCTTCAAAGAACTTGCTTTTGTGTTTTCTTGTGAAAAGAACCAACGAAGAAGGAGAAACTGCCAACCAGAGGAAAAGTCATTACCCTGAGAAGATCATGGACAGGCAGAAACAGAAGAGTTTTTCTGAGGGGAAGTGTAGAGATATTTCTTTCTCTGAAGCCTAGGAAAAAAGGAAGGGTGGGTGGACAAAAAACTTCCTTGGAACTGGAAGTAAGGGAAGTTGTAATTTGCATTTTATGCTCACTTTACTCTGAAAGGCAAGAAGGAAGGATGTTTGTTGAGAGAAATGGACTACAACCATGAGGTCAAAAATAGTAAATAGTATGCAGCAGTTTCTAGACAGAAAGTAAATAACTTAAACTATGGTGGATTAGAAGACTGTGAACAAGTGAGCTCCTTAAAGAGAGATTGGTGAGATTCATTGGAGGTTGGGTACCTGCAATCTGTAATTGAACAGTAAGCAGTAATTAAGTAAATTTAAACCTTAAGATTAAAATGGTAACCAGGGCCTCCCCAGTGGCGCAGCGGTTGAACGCTGGGTTGCAAAGCTGCCCGCAGCCTCTGCAGCACCGGTTCGATCCCCAGCTACTGGGTGAGGGTCCCTCATGGCGCACAGACCTCTCCTGCTGCCCGCTGCTCCCCTCAGCAGTGTACTTCATCAGTCTGCCAGCTCTGCTCTTTGCTCTGACTCTGGTGAATTCTCTCACCCTCCTGCACTTCTGACTGTATCCAGTACTTGTATAAATAAATTAATTAATTAAAATAAATAAATAAAATATAATGGTAACCAACGTAAATTATCAAGCCACACACACAAAAAAAAGTTTATTATACCCTTACGGAGGATTGTTGATAAAAGAGGGCGTTAAAAGTTTAGCATTAAACTGTATCTTAGGGGTGATATAAAACAGTTTGTTATGGTCAAAAAAATGGGGTAAATACAAGCTAAGTATTAAGTGAAAACTGAAACTATTCAAACTCCTCTTTAATCTGCTAATTCTGTCTATATGACATTAGTGAAGCAATGATCATTTGTATCACTGTTTCCTGGGATCTGACACGTTGACACATGCCTGATACCAAGCATTCAGTGAATCGTTCTTAAAAGAAATGCCTAGTAAGAGACTTGGAAAATATGATTTCTCTAGGGCATATCAGAATCATTTAATTTATAACCTGCCTCATGTCCTCAACTTGGATATTTCTGCTTTTCTCTATAGATACAGTTATATAGTATTAAGATCTTTTAAGTATGTATATATTCTAT